ACGTAGGCGCTCGTACAGGTCGGTGTTGCACGTATAACGTGTATGTTACGACCGGTCGCAACAGAAGCCCTTAAGTAGATACTCGCCACCCCTTGCGGATCCGGCTTAAATCTTAGTCCGGCGCGTAAGCACGTGTACACGCTGTTTCGCCTACAGATTCTTTTTTTAAGCTTCGTTAAGTCACGGCCCGAGCCTTAATTAAAAGACTGACCCTGTCGGTGATTCCATAGCGAGGGGCGCCAACCCCGTGGCGAACGCCTAGGGTGCTGGACCAACTCGGGGCTCGCTTTGCACCCGGTTTAATGATAATGAACGAAACGAAGGGGTTGCAAGCGTGGCTAACGCCGTACACTGCCGATCATAAATTTTAAAAAACCTCCCTTATCGTTCCCTTTCAACTCGATACCTTTATTCCAGACGCGTGCCACTTCGTGCCCTTATCGAAAACTTCACCCTTCAATGTACGATTTAATTTCGAATCATTTATCAAACGTATACTATTTAATTTTTTAATATATTGTACAGCAAGGGTTTGATATAGAGGTTAGGAAGAGAAATAAAGCGTTTATTTGGAAATTTTATATAACGTTTCTTTCCCCCTTTTTAGTTTTAGTTATCAAGTTCTTGCAATAAGCTTTATAACCTCGCGAGACGCGTACACCCGGAATGAGAGTATAACGTTACGCCTATGCCTCAATGTCGAGCAGATATAAATCACGACCAGCCGTCTGCGCGTTGCCGCGGCGAATGTTTAACGGTGCTCCTGTCAAAAGTGAATTGCAACAATCTTTGCGACCCGGCAGAACTAGGTTTCGATTTCACGCGAGTCCGGTTCCGTGCGAGGACTGATACGCGTTTTGCACGACATCCGATCGTCTCGCTCCGTACATTTTTCCGTTAGTCCAGCGCCATCTTGTGGACGCCAAGGAATTATTCCCGTTCGAAACATCGTTTGACAATCCGTATTCAGGATTTGATACAAAAATTTTGTTACGGGTACTATTGCATCGTTGAAAAACTGTGTATTTAAACTTTTAAAATTCGTTGAGCTATATTGTTTCGGTGTATCCGTTACACGAAACAATATAGGTTAGGAAAGCCATGGTTCGCGGGTTTTTTCCCCGAAAATAACGCGATCGACCTAATAATGTTTATTTTCCTGAGCACGACAGTCGGAGCCAGGATTGCGTGGAATAAAGCAAGACGCGAAACGCGATAAGCGTTTGGTTTTTTGTTACCGGAGAGCGAGACGAGAGCCGTAGGCCTGCACGTGGCTACAAAAAACAGGCGGCGAGACCGTCAGCCAGTCGCCTCTCTTTTTTCCATCCTCGTGTATCGATGTTTAAATTTAAATAAACGGCTAAGCGAAAATAAATTATATTTCTTACGTTGCATCAACATTATCAATATTTCTTTAATTTCTTCTGCAAAAAAATGAAGAATATCGAGAAAACGGAAACGCAGAATGATTGTCCAAAATATCTTTGATATTAAATATCTGAAATTCGTCCAAGTACGACTAATTTCGTGTCTGGAAATAAAGTCGATTGGAGATGTAGAGAGATTCGTCGATAAAAGACAACAAAAAGAGGATCGGCAATAATTTCTGCATTCTCTCGCGATAATTACTGTTCCTTTATGCACGGCGACCGGTTGAATGAATTCAATTACACGCTAGATGCACTACTCTGACTGCCAGCGTCGCACTCATCAAAAGCTCTCAATGGACGTCTTAAGTGGGTTATCCTTTAGGTTTAAACGTAATATGTACATAGACGCTGCAAAACTCGATTCTGGATTTCTTCGCGTTAAAAGATTAATATAGACCAAGAAATTACGAAATTTATTTACTGCACACTTTTCTCGAATTCTAAGGATGGCCTCGAACCTGTCTGCTAAAAAGTGTACAGAAATATTTATACAATACTATGTGTTTAAATAAGCTTCGTGTTACAATCAATCCAGAAGGATATTTAGTATTTGAATTAATAAATCGTTGGTAAAAAACGAAGACGGTAAACTTTTATTGTTTTTAATCGGTCGTGCAACAGACGTTTGAATAATTTTGGGAATTCGGGTCACAGTACAGGGACATTCTATTTTCCTTGGTTTACCAGACAGGGCGGAATCGTTCCGGAAGTACATATGCCCATTAATGTCCGCCTGGCGATAGTCTAATGGCGGTGTGGACAAGTGGCTCGCGATAGACCCATTAAGTGTTGCTTTGGAACAAGTGCCACAAAGGTGCGTGCACGTTTAAAGCGGTAACGATCTAGATTTCTTGCGCAAACGCGTACTTGCCACGACAGAATATATGTATACCGGCTATGTACCGTCACGGAACGCGTCGTCCTTTTGTCTATTGAATTATACGCGGCTACGGTAGCGTTGCAGGGTGCATGGAATATCAGACAGAGCGTATCCCATTATCCGGTGACTTGGTGATACAGATTCACCGACGCGAGGGCAACTGTTATGTGAAACCGTTGTGCACTTTCGGTGACTGAGAACGTTCGACGTTCGACGTTCGCTCGTTGGCCAAACGAACGGATCCGTTTCAGGGTTAGGTTCAAGGCTCGAGACGGTGGCGCCACTGCATTCTGTTACGGAAACTCTAGTTCCGTAATTTTTTCCAGATTTTGAACACGTTAACCGTGAAACTTATTTCTAAAACTCTACTTTCAGGCGAATGTTATATAATAATTGTGACGATTTAAAATAAATAACTAATACCTTTTACACCGACTGTACACGACCAGTAAAATTTTATACCAAGATCGATAAGAGTGTTGTTTGCACATTAATTCTTTTTCGATATACATATATACGTTATTTAACGTAATTGACTCAATCTCGTTATTTATAAGTTTCCTGATAAAAATTTCAAACTTTGCACTTGGAACCTTGCATTCACGTTTGAATTATTCCAAGATCTTTTAATTATTAAATAATATATCAAAAATTATTGTATAAAGTCAAATTGTTATTTATCGAATACCTAACGCAGGAGTGCGAATTTTGGAAATGTTGGTTAACATCGACGAATTATGCGCGTTAGACATATTTCGATATTTCCACGATGCGTCTGTACCTACAGTGAGAAGCAGATGTCGCGATGAATTTACATGAGACGGACGAAGCTGAAAGCGTAATGCATACCAACGATAAGGAAATTAAGTAATCCGAGCACTACGCTAGCGTTATTTCTCGCGTCCATATTACGGTAGTTTATACCATTCGAGGCTTTCGCGTGTAAATTCCATACTTGGCTCGCAACCATCGTTACGATCGCGCAACAAAATCAACTCGCGAAAGCCACTTTATCGGCCATAAATCACATCGAGCGCAACTGTTGCGACTCATCGACATCTTAAATTCTTTTCTCTTAATTGTACCATAAAATCTGACAATTTTCGACAAGTAATGGACCGCGTTAACGTGTTCACCGTTTCCATAAATAGAAATTGGTTTCGCTCGAAACTTGAACCATAAGGCTCCAGAGAGACAAAACTGTCCTGACCCATATATGGGGTCAAGGACTCCCGAGTGAGAACTGCCCTGACCCACATGCGAGTCACAAGACAGTTAATGCGTAGACGTATTAGAAATTGTACTCTGTATAGCTTCAGATAGTGATTAATAATACACACAAGGTAATTAATTATCTACCAAATGATCGACTAGAGTGATTTTACAAACTAGGACTAGCAATAAATTGTGCGCAGCGTTTGACTGACAAGTTGATTTTGTTTTTAATGTAATTTCATTCGATGCATAGACCTTTTTCGACGGATCTTATAACCCATTAACGAATATTTTAAACCAATATTTGAACATTTTTATTCATTTATTCATAGATACGATTTACCCAACTCTGGTCGAACGATCATGATTGGATAAATAAATACTATCGACGTAAATGACGATGTTGTTAACGATTATAAGATAACCTATTTTACAAATGAAAGCCTTCGATGGTATAAACTGGCATGCGCTTGGAACAACGAATCAAAGTTTTCGATTCGTTCGTAAATTACAATTAACCCTTAAGTGGACTCTCAATCTCGACTGAATTATTTTACTTAACGTTGAAAATCAACTTTCTTTTAAAGCGTTCAAAAAAGTAATGAACTCACGGAGGATTATATAAATTTTCAAATAATTACATTTACATATATCAAATAATTGTTAGTTTAATCTTGCAAAAAGGGTCCCAATAATCCACTTAAGGCTTAATAAACATCAAAAGAAACGAAGCCAAGACAAAAGCTAGCTCACGAATGAATACAAAAATTTGGTATTCGTAATTAACGAATAAAATTTTATCAACTCCAGAGCGACCTAAAAGGGCCTAATAAATAAGGTAATTGTTTACTTCAGGGGACCTGTACTCCGATTTTAATGATTTTTAAATATAGAATAATATAACGGGCGAATCTAAAAATTGAATTTAACCAATTTCAATGATTTTTAATTGTGATTGCACGACCCTCTAACTGAACCTAATGTATCCTCACTGGGTGGTACGTACGTGATGTTAAGATCAAGTTTATTCGATTTGAACAATTTTGAATATCAATGTGCGTGGCCAGCGACAAATTGATGGATTGGGTTAGGGTTAGGGTAGATTTATTATTTCCCACGCAAATCGAAATTCAAAAATAGTACGATTCATTCTGTTTTAGGCTCACCCGTTATAATATTTTGGTCGTCGTGCGTTGCAATTTTGCAAATATCTCAGGAACTACGGCCGTGCGGAGGTTATGTATACATATAGGAAAAAATTGTTCGGAATCCTATTTTTTATAACATATTTAAAAATCATCAAAATTGGAGTTGAGGCCCCTAAAGTAAACAATTAAAAAAAACTAATTCGACATAGCGTAACAGCAACAATAACAAGAATGCTCAAGCGATCGAAGGTAAGAGGAATATAGTTTTGAAAAGATCGTGCATGGTATGCGTGGTGTTTGGGAACGCTAATCTACGGTGTACACAAACATAAACTTGCATCGCGCAGCTGGTAACGCGAAAACAAAACCGCGTGAATCGCGTATCGAAACTCGTCGATTCCTACGTACGAGGCTAGTTTGGCCTGGATAGAAGACGCGCAACAATTAACATTCCCCTCGCCGTACGACAACTAAAAACAAACATCTCACGCCGTCCTACACAACGAACACTTTGGTACAACCACAGGACTCACCACATGAGATCTATGTCTCTTCTCCTTAGATTGATGCTTAGCGTGATGTTTGCTGCTTCTGTGGGGCGGGTAAGTGTGATAAAAGATAAGGTCGAAGCAAGGCTGGCGTCACCTGACCTCCGCCATATTGCATTTCGCGAGGCCTATCTGCTGGCTGGTCTGATGATTCTGATGACCGGGTACGGTCAGGTGGGACGAGCACTTCCCGTGAAGCTTCCTGGTGGCGTTCGTGGCCGTTTGCAGCGTCGACGAGACGTTGCTCGACTTGTCGTCGTTCTGCGTGCTGGATTCCAAGGTCAAAGTGTTGTCGTCCAGGTCGACGGTGAAGGCGATACGATGATGGGGCGGCACGATCTTCACGTTTGAGCCGATGGGCGTGACCGTGGTGGCCGGGTCCAGCTTGACCAGGGCCGCTTGCAATTCCAGGGCATCCATTTTCACGCGATCAACAGTTCAACCGTCGTTAACGTCGAACGGGCGATTCACTTTGTCGATCGTTCGATCCGATATTGGATCACGCGTCGAACCGGAAACACCAGCACCCTTCGCGCGGATATTTTAAGACGCCGGAACGGAATCATAGGAAAACGGCACGATCCGCGGATACTCCTCCAGCCGTGCATCGAATCATCGCGCAAAAATGTTCCTTCGACTATTTTTACGCTTCTGGAACACGCGTTTCGATCCCCCCCCCCATCCACACCCCCCACCCCCCAATTCGCTTGTTGATGTCTCCCCCAGGCGTATACGCCTTACGATATTTCTCGATCGCGGGATCGCATTATTCCGGCCCCCGTCGTTGCTCGATCGTTCTTTTCGATCGCCGTGAAAACCGCTACGGACTCTGCAAGAAAAAGACAACACGACGCTTGAACGGCGTTTCTTCGCGGCGAATCTCGATCAATTCTCGTCAAATGTCGTCGATAGAAAATTGCACTTTGTCTTTTTTTCGATTGCCACCGATCGATGTAACTTTCGATGACGTTGGGCTGTTTTGTGGTTCGTTGCAGGCTGCACGCGACGACTCTCGATGGAAACTGGAGGTGTCGCGGAGTATCGAAACGCGTGGCGTAGCGTCGTTACTTCTCGAAAGATCGCGTGACCCGTTTCGTTACACGTTGGCGAACGATCTTTCAGATTTACCGGGAAACCTACGCCTACTTTATTGTTCTACACGCGTTCGAGTTGTACGCTGCGTCGAATAGACAAGTTTATGCTCGCTACGCGGGTGAAAGATGCTGTTGGCGTGAAAGCTGGCATTTTGTGCGCTCGTTTTGCGTGGTCTTTCGACAACTTATTTCATACAGGGGATAGAACAAAATCTAACGAAATTAATGTTTCAAGAAAGCTTCCATATTTATACCACGAAACTAATTAGTTTGGCTTCGATTCTCCTTAGAAGCCGAGTAAACGTAGCTCGTTCTTCTTCGATATTTACAATTAATTTTTAACACCTTACAGTATTAATTTTCATAAAAGAATCGCTTGGATTTCTTTTTTTATTGACACAAGAATTCTGGAAAGACTGGTAACCAATTACAAGATTTCAGCTTAGATGGAAATCTAAATCAAACCGTTTTGTTATGGCTCGCTTTTATGAAACATCCTGCACGTTGAAATTTACGAAGCAGGGTATCTTAAATACAATTAAGGAGCGAACGATGATGTCTACCGACCAATCGATAAGAAAATGCTGATATTGGAACGGTACAAACGTCTACGAGAAAGCAGAAAAAATGATACTGATGGTCGACCGATGGGGGTGCAATACTTTTGATATAAGCACTGAGTAGTACGGTGAGATTAATCTCTTCTAGATGAAGAAAATAGGTGAAACGTAACAACAAGGTACAAAATTAACTACGGTCATACAAACGCAAGTCGTGAAATTAATGTGGAGTTCCAGTGATTCTGGGTATTAACATTTTCTATGCTTCTAATTCACCATCTTCCTAACCCGGACAAGACACCTCGTGAAATATCGACGACACTTTTAGTATCGTTGCATTGAAAAAGGAACGTGCATTGGAGTTTGCAAACGCATCATTGTGCTAGTTGAGAAAATGAAGTCACGCTAACAATAAGATAAACTGTCCCGTGCCATTCTACTTTGTCATCTATAATTTTGTTCTACCTTCGACGAGTTGGATACCGCCACCCATGTTAATCGTGTCATTTACTCCGCGTAAAGAGATTCCTACTCGTATCGGAGTAATTATAATACTGCTACGGAATAACAATTTCGATTGTCTCGCAGACACCGACTCGAGGGAACATTTTGTTATAATATTTTTAAAAGAAACGTCATCTTCGCGGCGACAACCGTGCTCTTATAACTGCGAGACTTAGGGTTCGTGTTTCTCGCAGATATCCAAGATACGCCGTGTACGAGCAATGTTTATAATCCGGATTGCAACGGTGTCATAACACAGCCCCATAAACGGCGAAAGTGACAGAGAAAAAAGAAAACCGGGTAAAAATGCACGCGCGGGTTATTTGCGTTTCGTTCGAACGCGGCGTCGGATGTTATTTCCTGTTTGCAACTGGAGACGCCCCGCGTCGGGCCACGCGGTGTGATTCATACACTCGATAGAAGGTAGAAAATTTGCATACGACGTCTAGGAGGCAGCATCGGTTTCTTTTTTTGTTTTTTTTTTTTTGGAAAAGAAAGGAGAAAGGAAGGATCGACCGAAACCCGAGACCGCTTCTTGCATCCGTGGGCGTTGCAACGGAAATCGCTCAGTGACCCGAACAATCGATAAGCACCCAAGAACGGTTCGAGGAAAACCGAGTAAGACAACTTCCATCGCGCGAATGTCGACGATGCATCGATAAACCCAATAAAAAAATATTTCACTGGTTCTTTTACAAATTTAAAACTTCGTTGAGAATTTTGTTCTACTTTCGATGTATTCGATATATTCTTAAAGGATTTGAGATTAGTGTGGCGTCACCTCCTATGCTCGCCACCAGAGGGGTCACACGCTCTCGCAAGCGCTCGACCGATCCCTCTTGTGGCGAGCATGGGAGCTGACGCCACATTAGAACGTAAAAAAGAATCGATTGCAAATATGTTAGAGCGGAGGAAAAAGGCGGTAAAAAATTAATAAAAGTTATATGGGAGTTTAATGATTTTCGGTACAGGTACGCCAGTGTTGCAACGTTGAAGAAAGAGAGAGAGAGAGAGAGAGAGAGAGAGGGGGGGGGGGGGAGCGCGGGATTCCACTGTGGGTTGAGGATGTTGCGCGTCCTTAAAGGACCCGACTCGCAACAGAACCGTTCGCGCAATTAAAAACCGTCTATTCCGTGGATCGCCTATTCGCGAGCTCGAGATGGTCACGGAAAAATTTTATGCCCGCTTTATGGGACCTTTATCTTGCTTTATGCGCGGTCGGTAAGTCGGTGCTAGTGTTCGCGAAAGGAATCCCAAGGGCACGGGCCTAGACCTCGAAAGGACGGTCAACGCACTTTGGGGATCCTTTGTGCGAAGTCGATCGTGTTTCTAAATCGTTTTCACCGAGTACGGAGAGTTGTCGGGCCCTGAAACGCCTACGACGACACCGATTCAATCGCATTTCGTTCATCCTTGATCGGAGATCGCAAAACCGTGACCGAAACCCGAAAAATTAGCGTCAAGTATTCTAAAATAGGTATAACTTTAGGTATCGCCGAACAGAGCGTGTGAATTTTGTACGGGAAAATTCTAAACGGTAAACACGAAATATTTATTTTTGTACGCAATGGTTAAAGATATGTACGGATGAAACAGAAATAGACGTACATTATCAATTTGTAAACGTTAATTATATTTGCTTACCCTTCCCTTCTTCTAAAATAGAAATGCACGCGAGGAAGAGGAACGTAATTAAACGCGACATTTATTCCAGAATACGAGTCTTTGCGAACCAAAAATAGAACCCACGAGCGATGCTGGTGTATCCGTTGTTCGAGAATCAATATTCGTATGTATTGGTTTCCGAAGATCACGTCGTGGAACGAAGAAAGTAACCAAGTTGTGACTTAACCTCACAAAACACCGAACCACAAGCATCGTACAAAGAACCGACGTATAACTATCGATATAACTAGCGTTAATTATTACGAACGTTCTTGCTTTATGTTATATTTGCGTATGTTCGACTCAAACAATAAAATTCGTCTCTAAAGAGATTAGAAAACACTCGACATTGTGCTACGCGATAAGAACACAAATGGAAATGAAACAAACTTGGCGAATGCAAACATAATAATAAGAAATATAAAGCTTAAGAAAATGATTAAATAACTTTTATTCTCGCCCCGAATTACGGACTATACCGATCTCGAACGTGCACCGTACGATAGTTTCTCGCATCGTTTACCAAATACCGCGTCACTCGGCGCTCGCTGCGCGTCTAACCTCAAATTTTTTACCGAAGATTATCGCTCTTTCTGTATTATCTTGCGTCCGAACGCGGTCACGAGAAACGGAATCACAGGATGTCCCCGATGACGAAGCCCGGGATCGTTAAAGGTGGACAGAGTCGAGTGTCTCGAACAAAGAATCTTGAACCGCAGATTGGACAATGACCACTCGCTTGGAGCGCTGCGACCTTTGCGTATCGCCGCGAGGAGAAAATGATGGCGGATGTGAGAAGCAACGACGACAGTCTCTTTCTAGTCCTAATGACAACTTTGCTCCCCGCCCGTGCCATAGTCGACGTCGAGCCGGAGGTAATTAAAGGGCGTGGAAACTAGTTGGAACAGTTTTCTTTCGGTGCGGATACGGTATTGGACGAAAATATAAGACGCTTGGAAATGTTGACGATCTTTGTGTCGTTGCAACATTCATGGAAAGTAGTTAAATAATCTTTCTAGCATCGTTTTAAAGGTTTACGATGTTTCGTTGCGAGAAACTTTGCAGAACACAGATTAACGAACAAAGAAGAGAGGTTATGTTTTCTTATCAACGTTCCGTGGCGTGTTTTCGCTTTCGTAGACTGTCGACGTTGCCAGAACAGTTAAAATGTTTAACAAAATTGATATCGATAATAAATCTATGGCAATGATAATAGACATCGTGCGTGTCAGAGAGAATTCGTTGTTGTAATAATAATAACGGTTCGGTAATGTGATAGAGTCACGGTGGTAATAATTGGAAATAGTACCGTCGGAATTTAATAGCGACCGTCTTTGTCTGAACGTTACATTCACGTACACGGTAATCGCATTGGATCAAAATTTGATTAAAATCGCATACATTCCTTGAAATTACTTACATTACGCGAGTCGGTGCTGCGATTACGGATCGTAGCTGTTCGACGCGGGATACCATTAAATGGTTATTTTATATCGTCGTGTAAAATAACAGAGGTACATTCGTTGCTTCGATATGAAAAAGAGGAGATGAAGAATGCGTAGATAAAGCTTGTTGCGATTTAATTGAAGCTTGCTCTAATGAAGATAATGAATCATCAACTCAGCTACTTTTCGTTAAATTTCAAATTAGCTTACCTTCGGGAAACTTACTTTTCTATCCGTTCTCCTGTGCTCGAAGTCTTTCATAATTTCTCATTAAACAAAACGGACGCGCGTATTCGACTGATAGAATAATTGCTTATGCGATTCGAAACCCTTCGAGGTCGTTATCATAAAGAAAAGAAA